AACTCCACTGTCAAGGTTGTGCTATCCAGTGACTTCACGGTCAGAATGGGCTCCATCATATCAGGGGCTGAAAGAGGCACAAACAATTCACAACACGGATGGTATCAAGTCCACTCTTAAGTTAATTTTTACTGTATGTGTCTGCGTGCTGAACTTTAGATTTAAGTGGTTTAATTAAGTGTTTTTTTTTTATTTAAAAAGCAACCAAAACTACCCCATACTTTATTGTCTGTGAATCTCCTCTGGTACATTTACTGAACAACTATAAATCACACGTTTAGTAATTTTCTGCTGCTACTTACAAGTGGTGTAGTTGAGAACTTGTCCTTGAGGACTGCTGCCAGCGTGGTTGAAGGCCAGCACAGACAGGAGGTATGTTTGCCCACACGGGCAGTGAAAGGTACAGTTGTTGCTGGTGGTGTTGCAGGTTTCCACACTGCTGCCAGCTGTCTCAAAAAGGGCCATGTAGCTGTCAGCATGACCCACGGGTTTCCACGTTAGAGTGCAGTTGCCTTCTGAAGACTCCACTAGTGCCAAAGACTCAGGTGGGCAGGGGACTGCAGCACAAGACGGCAGGGAATTTAGTCACAGTCAGGTGACCCTACCTGACACTATGAGTGTCAGGTAGGGGTTCGGTGTAGAACACAAAAAACTTGTGTGTCATATTTTATAGCATGTTTTGCATTGTAGTTATTAAAAGTTTGAAGATTTTTAATGAATAAATTGTTTTCTTTAAGATATATAAACTGTGATATAAAAAAACAATGTTGAAATTGTTTTACCTGCTTATGAGTTTTAAAATGTTGTGGTTATAAAGGGTCAGAGTTCAGAGGTCAAAGTATTGCTACCATTGGTCCATAGTTACCCTTAGTGGTCATTAATTTTACAGGATACATTCAACTTTTGTAATGTGGAATTAAATTTGGGTGTTTTTCATGTCATATGGAATATAAATCTTAATTTAAACCAATGCATTAGAAACAACACAAGTTTCTGCATTCGGCTTCATACCCGGAAGGTAATTCCAGTATTTTTAAAAAACATTATGTGGATGACACATTCATATCTCTTCTACTCACAGGTGATGAAGACTGCAGGGCTAGATGGATAGCTGGGCCCAGCTTCATTTGAGGCAGTGACTTGGATGGTGTGTACCTCTCCACACCCCACTACTGAGAGAGTGCAGGAGCTGGATGTGGTCTTACACATTAAGTTTAG